GGTTTTGTTATTTTATCCACTGATTTATATCCTGAGTGCCAGAACAGTGTCTAATACACAATAGGCCCTCAAAAAATATTGAATAATTCAACTTTCTTGCTGGCTGATTGTTTGAAGATATTCTACTTTTCACCAATATTTCACAATTGTATTTGAAATTCCAATTTTACATCTAGTTCTAATCTCTTAAAGTAATAAAAGTTATTACTTTAAAAAATATATATAGTGTAAATATTTAAACATAATATATTAAATATACACTTAAGAATATATATCGACATATATTAATATCTTAGACGGGCATTAAGTTCCTTCACTGACAATCTGTGGCAAGAAAGTAAGTTCTAAAAGAGATGCTAAAGAACTGTGTAATTCAAACTATGTAGATATGTACACTGATTATTTGATCCACATTTTTAATTTTTTTTTATTTAATTTAATTAATTAATTTATTTATTTGAGATAGTCTCGCTCTGTCACCCAGGCTGGAATGCAGTGGTGCCATCTCGGCTCACTGCAACCTCTGCCTCCCAGGTTCAATTGATTCTTCTGCCTCAGTCTCCAGAGTAGCTGGGAATACAGGCACACACAACCATACCTGGCTTATTTTTTGTATTTTTAGTAGAGACGGGATTTCACCATGTTAGCCAGGATGGTCTTGATCCCCTGACCTTGTGATCTGCCCGCCTTGGCCTCCCAAAGTGCTGAGATTATGGGCATGAGCCACCATTCCTGGCCCAGTTATTTGATTTTATTTACATACAATAAAACAATACATATTAGAACTAAGTGGTATTTATCTATCGTAACATCAATCATCTTAGCATTGAATTTAAAATGTTTATGATACAGAAATTCCCTAGTAAACAGTGCTAACATTGCTTCATTTAGTTTATTTTTATTTAAAAAGAAATATCCTCTAAGTTTTTAAAATTAAACAAGCTAATTCTCTTATCTAGGAAAAAGGCAAATATTCTTCTCATGTAGACTTTAAAGTAACTTTTCCCATGAGTCTTCAGCGGGAACCCATGTAATGTTGAGAATGACATTCTCAGCACCAGCACACTAAGCACTGCAACAAGTTTCACAGAACTATTTTTTCAAATGCTCTTCCACTTAAGCCAAAATGTAATTCAATAAAAGGAGAACTACAATGAGTTAAAATCATATGGTTCAAATAGCTGTTTTGGGAACTAACTTCACCAAAGGATTGTTTTTAGACTCTAGAGCTGTGGTCTTCCAACTCCTTTTGAATATATGCTGCATCAGTAAAAAACAATTTGAGCACACATCCTCTTTATAAATCATTTATATATCTATAAATTATATAGTTACTGCACTAATATATTTTTGCATTACAAAATATACATACAATGAAAAATTTAAATGGATGAAATAATAGTAAGCCTTAATAGCAGTTCTATTATTTTCTTCCTACATTCCAATGTTTCATTGTGTGCACCTCTTGGGGTGACTCGTCCCATCTGGAACTCACAAATACAAATAAATGACACTTCTCCACGGATTAATTTTCTTTAATCTTTTAAGAAAACAATGGGGGCGGGCACGGTGGCGCACTCCTGTAATCCCAGCGCTTTGGGAAGCCAAGCTGGGCTGATCACCTGAGGTCAGGAGTTTGAGATCAGCCTGACCAACATGGGGAAACCCTGTCTCTACTAAAAATACAAAAATTAGCTGGGTACGGTGGCGCACACCAGTAATCCCAACTGCTCAGGAGGCTGAGGCAGGAGAATCGCTTGAACCCGGGAGGCGGAGGTTGCAGTCAGCCCAGATCGTGCCACTGCACTCCAACCTCTGCAACAAGCGACACTCCGTCTCAAAAAA